CCTCCCCGTGTCAGCGCCCCCATCCCCCAGATCAAGGCATCCCGTAAAGTATTCTTTTTCTCCCGGAATTCATTCCACAGAAAAGATATGGAATTAAAACGATGGGTCGAGAAAGGTGAAGGGTTAAGAAAAATCGGGAGGGGAGAATAGAAAGAAAAACGGGGGGGGGGCAGAGAAAAAAAGAATAGAGGGGGAACAGGAGAATAGGGGGAGGGAAAGAAAATAAGAAAGGGGGGTGGAGAATTGAATATTTACGAGAGAAAACAGGTAACTTTTGGCAGATTCCTGCGAACTGCCCTTTAAAAAAAAGTCCTCCCCCCACCCCATTTCAAACTTGACGAGTTGTTCGTCTGCAAACATGGCTTCTGACACCTCTGCAGTGAAGGCTTGGATGTCAACCTCATTAAGGTAGGTTGAAAAAGTATCTGCCCCCTGATCACCTGTTTGCTAGACACAGTCATCATTCATCTGTCGACTTAATCACATTTTGATTTTGACTTTGTTAATGTTGATATATTTTGCAGGTATACTCCAGTTGGTAAATGTGACTGATTATGCCAACTGAACCAAACTGGTCTTGGAGAGGTAGGAGAGATGACCTGCCGGGTTCCAAGGACCATAATTCAACTCAAGAAGGCTCAGATCAATACCATGATTCAGATATGCAGTCATCGGGTCCTCGCAGTGTACCTCATAAGAGGCAGTTTTTCCAGAATGATAGCTTCAGTTTCTGTGCAGACCTAGATCGGGGTGACTCTCATTCCAATCCTAGAATAGACCCAAGAAATAGATCTCAGATGATGAGGCGTAATCCGCTGAATCAACAGAACCCTACAAAAATTTATCTTCCTGGAAATCACATTAATTCCAGGCACAGTGGACGTAAGAATAGAACCACTCATGATCAGTCTCATTCACACTCATCTGTTTCTTCAAATAACCATTCTGAGTATCCTGATTCTCGAGTTGGTAATTTTAATGCAAATGAATCAATGCTAAAACTGAGTAAATCACGGCACAATCATGAAAGCAAGAACTTGCGTTATAATGCTTTTAGAGATCCTTATACGACAAGGCATAAATTCCCAAAAGACTCCTCTTCTTTCAAAGAGCATGGGCGTAGTCCACATAGATGCTGTATCCCAGGGGAATTGCAATCTGATGAGGGTTCTTCCCATTTTAATTCAAAGGAAACTAGGCATGCTTCTCAATTAAGTGAGTCCAACTACTCCAGAGAATCTGCAAGTAGCTCTAAAGTAGATTCATTTAATCTTAAGTACATTAGGAGCAATTTGCACAGGGGTGGAAGTTGTGCAAGCAAGTGGAGGGACTCGAAGGGGAATACATCTAGAAGTAGTGAATTCAGGTATTATCTTTATTCTGAAGAGGCTTATAATAGTGAGTCTAGATACATCTTTCGTGAGAATCCACGTAATTCCAATGGATGGAGGCCTAAAATTCAAGATGATGAATTACACTATAGGGAGTATTTGAATGATAATGCATGTGACCAATTCAATAATGGAAACCAAAGTGACATCCAGCGCAACAAGTCCAAGTTTACATCAGGCTCATCCAGATCTTTGAGACTCAATTCACATACAGGTCGACTCAATTGCAGCAAGTCAAGGCTTAATTCTCGTAAAAACCAATTGGACCTAGTCAAATCAAATTTGAACCCAACGGCAGAAGCATTTCAACCAAAGGAATCAAGATCCGAAACTCTAATTCAATCATATCCACCTAACAATCCAGGTAATGAATGCTCATTTCCTTTACTTCTGTCAACTTACGAATCTGGACTTACGCCCAACTATTATTGAGAACTTTCAAACTGTCTGTGTCATAACTAATGTAGTTCGATATTTGATTCATGCAGACAATCGTTATTCTTGTGAGCGGGGAGTTCAAATTTCCCATATAGTAGGGCGGATAAGGGGAAAAAGTTCCCAGAATCGTGCATTTCTGGAAGAAAGCATGAAACTTTCAGGATATCATCTTTATCTATAGAAGGTTCAATTTCGCAAGTGAGCCCAAAATTCTGAGGCCATGGGGGCCGAGGGGGCAGGGGGCCCTGATTTCGCTATGTTTTGCCGAATTTTCGCGTTGGATCATCGTGAGAACGCCGTTAACAATGTAAAATGTAATCGAGACTTGTGTAAACGTCATTAGTAGGTTCTCTCAAACAGTATCCCAAAATGCTATCACTGTCCAATCCCGGAACACCCCTCAAAATGCCTAAAATTCAAAATGGCGCCCATAATAAGGCCTCCGGAATATCGGAATTTTCACTTGTGCATATCCTGTCATGTGAGGTATCATTTTCCATGTAATTTTGGTCGCAGATTTCATATTTGAAGTCAAAACAACCCCCCCGGTCAAAATTGGTGCCCCCAATCCAAGATGGCGTCCAAATTTGAAAGGCAGGAGGGTGCATTTTTTAAACTTTTACGCGATAAGGCAAGTGATATGTCGTTCCCTATGTAATTTTGGTCGTAGATTACATTACTGAAGTCAAAAGAGTCCTCCGGTCAAAATTGGTGCCTCAAATCCAAGATGGTGGCCAAACTCTAAAGGCAGGAGGGTGCGTTTTTTCAAATTTTTACGTGATAAGGCAAGTGATATGTCGTTTCCTATGTAATTTTGGTCGTACATTTCATTATTGAAGTCAAAAAAGCCCCCCGGTCAAAATTGGTGCCCGAAGTCTAAGATGTCGGCCAAATTTGAAAGGCAGGAGTGTGAATTTTTATGAGAAAAAAAATCACGTGAGATGACAAGTGAGGTATCAGTTTATACGCATTTTTAGTCAACAAAACGAATCTAAATGAAATGTAAAAAAAAATCTTTTACACAAAAATGAAACGAGATAATCAGGATGATTGCCATCATGGCTGACAAGTGAAAAATGATGAGCCACTAATAAGGAGGTGTCTTGCTGATTACTGCACAAAAACTCTGAACTCAATTTCAGATGCCCTAGACTCAGAGGATGAACAATTAATAAGTACCGAAAATAATTTAGAAAACTCTCAGTCGGTTTCAGTTGGTGGGTCTCTACTCAATCGAGGGCGATCGAAGCATAGGCATACTTACGAATCCATTGCACAAACCTATGTTCCATCAAATTGATGAGCAGACACCAATGTTTCTTTGCGTTTTCGAAGTGATGTTAAACGCGCAAAATCCGAGATGATCGCTGTTCTCGCATGCGTTTACTGGTTGCGATTCAACCCCTCACATCCATAAAATAGGAATAGCAACTTTATTCTGTACGCTTCGCTTTTATCTGATCCTTACCTGCAAGAATCTAAAGAAAGGTTCTTGGAACCTAATCAAAACCATGAACGGATATAAAGAGCTGGAAAAGAGTAAATCGATGGTGAAACTGCTTAAATACTATTTCGGTTTGCGGTGTTGCAGACTTCTTGTCATACTTCCGTTCCTTCATTAAAAAGTACTGGAGTCATTTCTTGAAAACTTTGCTTGTTTTCACTCTCTATGTGAGGAATATTCTGTAAAAATTTCATGATGTTGGTTTGGTCCCCTTTCAAAAAATAAAATGGGAGCGAATATTTTGAAATCCTGCAATCAAGATACGCACGTTTGCTGTTTCACCGTCGAAATATTACTCCTCAATGGTAGCCAAAAAAATGTGACTTTCGAAGACCTCCGTCATCATATATCGAAGGAAAAATTTCCAGCTTTCAAAGTCTTCATTCAATTAGAGAAAGTACCCTCGATATCACCAGCAATGAAGTAGGTAACATCAATTTAGGAGCTACTTTTATACTCAACTGTGGATGGGATGAAGTGATCTGGATGCCTGTCTTTGGGGATGAATGAATAAAAACAAGGAGCTTCATCCTATTTTAAGTGACTTGCCTCCAGCTCCCGGAATCCCCGCTTAAAATTATCCGGTGTAATGGACCACTAGACAAGGTACGCATTTAAGCAATCTGATACATGTTTCGTAACCAGAATTTACGTAAAACACGACTCACACAACGAAAATTACTGAAACTAACTCCTAAGGAAGATATTAACGTTTTTATTTCACATTGGTAACGAGGAATTTGAACTGCCCGCTCACAAGAAACTCAAAGCTCTACGTGAGTCAAATCGCGCACTACAATGGTTTCAGCAAGCTTCTCAATCGAGCAATGTTCATTTCCCACCATGTTTTGTTCAAACTATTAGCAATTTGCTACAGCTGAGCCAAAACGTCAAGATCGAGGTTGCCAGATTTTTATATCGCAGAGACTGTCATGATAACGTTTAGCGCGCGATGTGAATCACGTAGAGCATTGAGTTTTCATGAGCGGGTGGTTTGAATTCACGCATCAAGAAAAATTGAATATCTTCGTAAGGTGTTAATTTCGGTAATTTTTATCGTATGCATCGTGTTCTACATGAAATTTTAGTTACAATACATGTATCAGAATGGTGAAATTCGTACCTTGTCCAGTGGTCCATTGTAAGAAAGGGAGTGACACCATGCTGTACCACTAAAAAAATAATCTTTTCGTTCTTAGACTCATGCAGAAGTTCTGAAGACTCCAACTGTAAAAGCTTATAGAACCGTTGGAGGAAGATCCTGAAGAGCCTGACTGGGAATGTGAATCAGCATGTGTTGATCAGGATTTTCTCCTATACTGACTGGAGAGGGTATGGCAGGTGCGTCGCGTGAAATGTCCTTATCTTTATTTAGAAATTATATGGGCTTAAAAATGAATAAAATAGCTCATTATAGATGCCCCTGTTAACATTATTCCTACCGTGGACGGCCAAACTGATCACCCTCTTAATTGTCTCGTATCATTTTTGTGTAAAAGATTTTTTTTACATTTCATTTAGATTCGTTTTGTTGACTAAAAATGCGTATAAACTGATACCTCACTTGTCATCTCACGTGATTTTTTTTCTCATAAAAATTCACACTCCTGCCTTTCAAATTTGGCCGACATCTTAGACTTCGGGCACCAATTTTGACCGGGGGGCTTTTTTGACTTCAATAATGAAATGTACGACCAAAATTACATAGGAAACGACATATCACTTGCCTTATCACGTAAAAATTTGAAAAAACGCACCCTCCTGCCTTTAGAGTTTGGCCACCATCTTGGATTTGAGGCACCAATTTTGACCGGAGGACTCTTTTGACTTCAGTAATGTAATCTACGACCAAAATTACATAGGGAACGACATATCACTTGCCTTATCGCGTAAAAGTTTAAAAAATGCACCCTCCTGCCTTTCAAATTTGGACGCCATCTTGGATTGGGGGCACCAATTTTGACCGGGGGGGTTGTTTTGACTTCAAATATGAAATCTGCGACCAAAATTACATGGAAAATGATACCTCACATGACAGGATATGCACAAGTGAAAATTCCGATATTCCGGAGGCCTTATTATGGGCGCCATTTTGAATTTTAGGCATTTTGAGGGGTGTTCCGGGATTGGACAGTGATAGCATTTTGGGGTACTGTTTGAGAGAACCTACTAATGACGTTTACACAAGTCTCGATTACATTTTACATTGTTAACGGCGTTCTCACGATGATCCAACGCGAAAATTCGGCAAAACATAGCGAAATCAGGGCCCCCTGCCCCCTCGGCCCCCATGGCCTCAGAATTTTGGGCTCACTTGCGAAATTGAACCTTCTATAGATAAAGATGATATCCTGAAAGTTTCATGCTTTCTTCCAGAAATGCTCGATTGTTATGCTTATCCGCCCTACCACATAGCCAATGTATGCAAAAAACGTTAATGTCTCTATTACGAGTTAATTCCACTTATTTTCTTTGTGTGAATCGTGCTCTTTGTGTAATGTTTGTTTGGAATCATTCACCAGAATGCAAGGTTGATTAAAAGAAGGTTGGTACAATCACCCAATTCGGCGCCATGTTGATGACGTACTAGTGGGACCTTGAGTAGCGCGAAGTTTGAATTAAGACGTCTGGTGCAAGTTGCGCGCAAGCAGACTGATGCTATTAATAACAATTTCTTATGCACACATTATTTATTGTAAAAGAATATGAAAATATATACATGAAATGTACACATTTGAAACATTTTTTTTAGAATGTATTTTATTATTATCAAGATATTTTAAATTGCTTCTTTTCACCAAAGTCCCAAAATTTTGGGGGGTTGTGGTCCCCATGATTTTGGGCTAACAAGAGTCATGTGGCACATCAACAAAAATTTATTGATCTCTTCTCTTAGGAGACTTTTAAAACGGTCCCCATGATTTTGGGCTAACAGGAGTCATGTGGCACATCAACAAAAATTTATTGATCTCTTCTCTTAGGAGACTTTTAAATTTTGAAAATCGGATAATTTTGACACCTACCGTCTCCAATTGAAATTCGCGCAAGAAAGGCCCCAAAATTCCCCGTAACTCCAAATAATAGGGACTTAAGAAGAAAGTGCATATAGAGCACAAAGTTCTTGTTTTTGGCCATAAATTTTGAATGCAACGTCAAAACATACCCTACCTATTTGAAATATGTGAGAAACGGGGAGGGGGGTACCATAGTATCCGGTACCCCCCCTCCCCGTTTCTCGCATATTTCAAATAGGTAGGGTATGTTTTGACGTTGCTATGGAACGCCGTTAGTGTCAAAACCCTTTTCTTGCGCGCGCGGAAAGAAAAAACCCGTTTTCGATGAAAATCTCTGAATTTCCGGATTCCGCGCCGGTTTTCGATGTATTTGCGCCGTTTGTGTCAAAACTATTTTTGTCGGCGCGCCGCTTCAAATCTGTTCCGCGCGCAGAATTCTCGATATATCGATTCCTGCTCGCCGATCGTGTCAAATCTGTTTTTTCTGGCGCTGCACCAGAAAATAATTCGAAAAAGTGGCGCGCGGAATTATTTTCTGGTGCAGCGCCGAAAAAAACAGTTTTGACACGATCGGCGAGCAGGAATCGATATATCGAGAATTCTGCGCGCGGAACGGATTTGGAGCGCCGCGCCGGAAAAAATAGTTTTGACACAAACGGCGAGCAGGAATCGATATATCGAAAATTCCGCGCGCGGAACAGATTTGAAGCGGCGCGCCGACAAAAATAGTTTTGGCACAAACGGCGCAAATATATCGAAAACCGGCGCGGAATCCGGAAATTCAGAAATTTTCATCGAAAACGGGTTTTTTCTTTCCGCGCGCCGAAAAAAAATTCCGCGCGCCAGAAAAAATTCCGCGCGCGCAAGAAAAGAGTTTTGACACTAACGGCGTTCCATACGGATACCCCCCCCCTTAACATCCCCCTAAAATGGGGTTTCAGGGGGCTGAAAATAATTTTACTGCACTCTTTGCGGTCAATTATCCCCTGAAAATTTTCGTCCGAAGCTCAATTCTTGGCCGTTTCTGAGAAAAAGATAGTGGACGGGTGCTGTGGAACACCACACATAGCATATCAAAACAAGCAGTTTGAACTGCGCGCCAGATCGAGGTCCCACTAGTACCTCATCAATATGGCTGGATGTACCAACCTCCTTTTAATCAACCTTGACCAGAATGCCTTTATTCGCACCTTATTTAGTGGTCGATTGCTATTTTGCTTGTCAGTTTTTCACGGAAACAGTAAAAAATGGCAGCCATATACAAATGCCAGCAAACCCAAGTGTTCTCAATACTTTCTTTGGAATCATGAAGTCTCATTCTTTTGATTGTTAGGTAAAGAAAAAAGTTTCCCACAGAAATTTCAAACAAAAAAGGCTTTAATCTGTGATAATCAGGATGACATATCCCGAAGATCCCGACTCACTGAGCAGCTAAATCGTGGGACACTGGAGTGCCTTGTTTGTACAGATTATGTTCTCCAAGCAGACAGAGTTTGGAACTGCATTGCCTGTTATAATACCTTCCACCTAAAATGTATCATCAAGTGGTCAGACTCCTCTAAAAGTGGTAAGTTGTAAGTCATTCCACATCATTTAACCCAGAACTAATACTTTCTGCGAGGTGATGGCAAGGCGTGGTGTCATTCCGCATCATTTAACCCAGAACTAATACTTTCTGCTGGGTGTGGCAAGGGTGGTGGTGGCTGGCTAGGGGTGGCTGGCTAGGGGTGGCTGGCTAGGGGTGGCTGGCTAGGGGTGGTAATTCAGTATACTTGTCAAGTAGTGAAGTCATAAGTCAAAGCCTGATATTGTTAATTTTGCCGGCCTATTCTGAGTCCTGAAAGTTTAATTTAAGCCCAAATGGAAGTCAGTAGCTGGCCCAGGACTTGAAATATGTTCATGTTTGAAAACTAGAAGAAATCCTTCAGTCTAATGCATAAAAATCAATTATACTCAAGGCCTTACGGGATTTTTGATGGAATAACGTATCGGACTATACCACGAATGCTTATCCCTCTGTTTTTGGGTCGTAGAATCCGAATTTGAAGTTTGCTGCCTCGTAGCTATGAGGCGCTTTTCGCAAAATTGCAAAAACGTTGCCAAATCTCCATTTTTTCTAGTTTTATGCTGATAACTTTTTCTGTAATGCAAAAATCGAAAATTTGTTTGAACGACATGAAAGAGCATAAAATTCCAAAGAGAGCGGTCTATACATGTTCTATTTCAGAATCAAAATTGACGGAGCTCCGCCACTTGCTCGGGGGCATCGAATCTCTGGCCCGCGGAAAGCACTGCGCGGCGCGCGCACCGGGAGCTATGCAGCGCGGCTGTCCAACATGCCGTTTTATTTTAAAGAGGCAATCGATTTGAAACTTTCGTTAAAGGTAGGTAAAAGGTGAGCACTTGCATAAATACGATTTTTCCAAAATTTCGTCAAGCGGGTTGCATACCCTGCTCCTCAATACCCAATTAAGTGATTTTGAAGAGGCACCTTGTGGCAGTCATTGCCCGGTCTGAGAGGGAGCTGAAGACCTGCGGTGTGTTTTAAAGTAGGTATGAAGAAATGCTTCAAATATCCAACAGAGCCGGATTTTTTTATTTTTGACTAAAGGTATTTTTTTTCGATTATGATTAAAATTTTTAATGGTCAATGATAAAGTCAAAATTCCGGCTCTGCTCGGTAATAAAGGATGCAATTTTGGTCATTTTAAAAAAAAGCCCCAGATCTCTAGCTCAATTAGAGCTTGAGAAATGATTGCAAAGAGATGAAAAACATGCGGAAAACTGATTTTTCAGGAGAGCAATATTAGTAAAAGTAAGCGGAAATACTTCAAGGTGCAAGTGCATCATTCTTCAGAGGATCTTCACCTTATCGAATTGTTTCGAGTATTTTATATCATGATAATTACAAAGTGAATTCTTAATCTTCTTCAGCAGATTCTCCCCTATCAAATTAGTGAAAAAAAAATTCCAAAAAACATTTTAGGGCTATTTTTTACCTAAGTGCCCCCTCAACTCGTGCACATTTTATGGCCCCTTAGCTTACCTTCTGGTTATTTGTACTTCGTGGCTCCTCTAATTTCGCTGATATTATATCATGGACAGTATAGTGCATAAGTCTTGCCAGCTCCTTAAGGATACAAGTGTCTAGAGTCAGGAGGATTATATTTACCGCCTACGTTCAGTAATCAAAGGGGTGTCTTGGCACGAGACAACTCAACTCACATCGCTCATATAATCGCTTCAGGAGTGAACAATTTTACTTAGCCACTATTTGTATCTGTGAAAGTGTTTTTTGCAGTTTTTTCACAATGAATGTGAAAACCACGTGTTTAATTTGTGGGAGGCCACTTTTAGATCTCTCAGTTAGGGAAGTTAAAAAAAATGTCTCCAGTCTTTGCGCGCCCCAAGTCAAACGTGGAACAATGGTAAAATTTCAGTCTTGCGCGGACTGAAAACCAGCTATCAAAGTAAAATCGTTAGCAAAATATGGCAATGACATCATTATTTTAAGGTCCTATAAAAAGTCAAAATTTGTCTCTAATCGTAATACAGATCTCAAAATACTACCTGATTTTTTTTACACTAAAAAATATGCTGATTCTAAATTCAATCGCAGCGTAAAATCTACTGCAGAAATCGTTCTGGAGGACATTCGTTCTAGACTTTTTAACCCAGATGAGTACACTGGAAAAAAAACATATTGGATTTAGAGTCCAGGCTCTCAAAAACATCGACAAGAAAAAAAACTATTCAATCGGATTTTTGCTTAAATCAAGAACCAAGCCTCTTAATTTGAGTGGATTTCCTTCTGATCGAAGCAAAAATCTGATTGAATCAAGAGTATTTTTTTTTGTCAATGTTTTCAAGAGTCTGGACTGTAGATCCAATGTGTTTTTTTTTTCTAGTGTATGCTCAGACAGAGTTTATTGCATGCGTGTTAAAAATGATATTTCAGATACACTAAGAACTTTTTGTGACTCCGTTACTAAGCATAAAAAGATGATGTAGAAAATGGAAAATCAAAAGGAAAGCAATAGCTCATTGCATCATAACTGTTGCCATAGACCGAAATCATACCACTCGCCGGTCCAGTTTGGGACTTCTCGGTGATACATGGGATCGCTCTCTTAGGAAATCGAAAGCGGCACAGAGACCACACAAGAAAAACGTTCCAAATGTCACTGAAATGCAATTGTCCATTGTCGAAACTTAAAAAATATTTAATCATAAAAATCTAAGATATCTTGCGTTAATTCTGTTTTTCCTTCATCCATACTGTAAATTTCTTGATTTAAGCTAAAATCCGATTGAATCAAGAGTCTATTTTCTTGTCGATGTTTTAAGAGTTTGGACTCTGGATCCAATGTGTTTTTTTTTCCAGTGTGAGGAGCAGGGTATGCAACCTGCTTGACGAAATTTTGGAAAAATCGTATTTAGACAAGTACCCACCTTACCTACCTATAACGAAAGTTTCAAATCGATTGCCCCTTTAAAATAAAACGGCATGTTGGACAGCCGCGCTGCATAGCTCCCGGTGCGCGCGCCGCGCAGTGCTTTCCGCGGGCCAGAGATTCGATGCCCCCGAGCAAGTGGCGGAGCTCCGTCAATTTTGATTCTGAAATAGAACATGTATATACCGATCTCTTTGGAATTTTATGCTCTTTCATGTCGTTCAAACAAATTTTCGATTTTTGCATTCCAGAAAAAGTTATCAGCATAAAACTAGAAAAAATGGAGATTTGGCAACGTTTTTTCAATTTTGCGAAAAGCGCCTCATAGCTACGAGGCAGCAAACTTCAAACTCGGATTCCACGACCCAAAAATAGGGGGGTAAGCACCTGTGGTGTAGTCCTTCACGTTTTTCCAGCAAGAGCTACTTTTGAGTCTCTAATGGCTGATCTATTACTTAATTCAATTCAGCGGTCTTCCAGGACTGTTGCGGATGATTCTTGTTTTGTTTTTTTCCTCACAAAATATTCATATTACACTTGCCTTCAAAATTTTAGCTTATTCTGTCAGAAACAGTGCGAACTGTTACTTCATTTCTGAAGCCCTTCTCCGCTAATAAATACTTGCAGAACTAACTTTACCCTATTATCATTAAATCTGCCACAATTTTTTAGAGAAAATTACCTCAAGGGAGCTGATATTTTGCGTAGCTTCATGTCTCTTAAAGAGTATGGAAGGATAGAGTACCTATATAGAGAGAGTATGGACATGTCGAAAATGGGCCTGTTGCACCAATTTTTTTTATTGCTTTAATCGAAAGAGCTAAGGCTCCTGATGTCACAGGAATTTTCCCGGAGTTTTTTGATCACCGGAAACCCCCAAAAAATCAACTTAAAAACGCCTCAGAATTTGGATTTCCAAAACGGTCGTTTCGGGTCCGCCATACTTGTGACGTGAAATGATATGACAAGGTTTCTTCATCACTTACAATGTATTTTCCCGTAAGGAAATGACAGCCGCTTTTCAAATGCAAATATCGAGTCAATCGATTATTTTTTGATCAAAATGGAAATCAGAAATGGATTCCTCGTACGTTTAAATGGTTTAAACCTTCATTAGATAAATAAGAACCGACGGGATGAACCCTATATTTAAGGAAGACTGTAGTCAATGGGCGATTGTTTACATCTGCTTAGTGATAACAGACATGGACATTAGGTCAATATTTGGCCATTTTCATGAGTTTTTACTTTTCTGCCACTATTTGAAGGTAAGTTTATTTCGTAAATCAATTGTTTAGTGCCTTAGGATCATGTTAAAAGCTGAAAAGGTATACTTTGTTACTTATTAATTCAGAACACACTCCGGCAGTCCAGTGCTCAAACCTGGATGTAGCGAGTCAGTTATTTCTTACTATTTCACCCTTTATTGCTTCACTGAAGACACCAAAATGATAGTATCAATCATTGATGATGAAAAAAACTTACCTTTGACAATACTGATAAGATGAGGAGGCTGGTATGTTTTAGCTGGAGGCAAGGAAAGTAGACGTAGGATCCTTCTTCGGTTACCAGACTTTATCGATAAATTTTTCTGTATAGTGTTACACTTAAAACACACAGGATTTTAAAATAACATAAGTTGATAAAACGTGGGAACGTTCTGAATGATATTGAGATGTTTGTTGAAGAGTTAAGAATGAGTTACACGCATTGAGAGAACATCCATGGTTTGAGCGTTGGACTGCCGGAGTGTGTTCTGAATTAATAAGTAACAAAGTGTACCTTTTCAGCTTTTAACATGATCCTAAGGCACTAAACAATTGATTTATGAAATAAACTTACCTTCAAATAGTGGCAGAAAAGTAAAAACTCATGAAAATGGCCAAATATTGACCTAATGTCCATGTCTGTTATCACTAAGCGGATGTAAACAATCACCCATTGACTACAGTCTTCCTTAAAAATAGGGTTTATCCCGTCGGTTCTTATTTATCTAATGAAGGTTTAAACCATTTAAACGTACGAGGAATCCATATCTGATTTCCATTTTGATCAAAAAATTATCGATTGACTCGATATTTGCATTTGAAAAGCGGCTGCCATTTCCGTACGGGAAAATACATTGTAAGTGATGAAGAAACCAGGTCTGTCATATCATTTCACGTCACAAGCACAGAATCCACCAATCACAAGTATGGCGGTTGAAAAACGACCGTTTTGAATGGGTTGGTTCCAAAAACAGCTTTTTTTGAGTTTGAGAGGTCATTTCAAGGTTTTTTAGTAGCGCCATCGTTTTTTTCGTGAAATTTGCCATAGGAATCAGGCATCAATTTGAAAATCCCCGCATCTTGCAACAGGCCCATTCTGAGGTTACGTGATGGAGCTTTTAGACCCCAAAAGGGTAGGCAATCTATGAATTCAAATTATCCAGAGTGATTTATAATCACAATTGTTGGGAACTGTCGTTGGTAAAGCACGTATTTGACTTGGTTTTTGCATAAACTTACTCATTTTTGAGGAAGAATGCTTACTTATGAATTTTCTTGTCAATTTTTGTTTGATATTGGAGTCTAAAGATCGACAGTGATATTTTTCGTTTTCAAAGGTTACCTACCCTTTTGGACCCTAAGAGCTACATATTTCGAGTTGTCCATACTCTCCCTATATAGCGACGGTGTAAGTCGGCAATCACATAACTCGGTTTGCGACGTCGCAGACTTCCTGTCATATCTTATTTTTTAAACGGAAAACTACTCAACGGCAATTCTTTAAGACTGCGGTGATTTTTCTACTCTAGGCGAAGGAAATTCTGCAAAAACTTGAAGGAATGATTTCAATTTGTTCTCCTTTGAAATAAGAAAATAGAAGCGGAGATTTTCAAACACCGCAAACGAGTTATGTGATTGCCGACTTGCTCTGTCGATAGGTACTCTATCAAGGTTGAGAATCGATTACTAAGGTGTTCGCTGCGAACACCTTGTTTATCGATACCTCTCCATAGGTTTAAGTGGCATAACAATCGATATATCACAAAGCACGCCACGCCACTGATGAGATTGCGTGTTTTAGGGCATCTCCAGCGACCCGAACAAGAAAAACCTGATTTTTTCGGCAATTTAACGATGCAAACATTCGAAGGGCTTAGGCGCCATGTTCTCGTTGAAATTACGACTGCGGACAATTTTTCCCGTAATCTGCATGCAATTTGGCCTCTTTTTTCTCTATCCGGATTGTTTAGCACTCAAGTCGAGAATTTGCTCACCCCATTGTGCCCCCTTCGACTTAGGCGCTGAAGCGTCAGCCATGATGAATACTGTGAAACATCCTATTGAGCAGAAATTGAATGGAACGGCTCCTGTTACAAAATGTTCACCTATGTCGTAGTATCGTTTTAGAAGCGAGGAGCTCAAAAAAAAAAAAAAAAAACGCAAATTTCTTACGCAGGTTTCGAAGTTAGGGGAGCATTTCAGAATTCCCGGATGCGCTCATCGCAATTTCTGAGACTTTTTCTGTAAGAAACAACTTTCAATTTTGCTCTAGCAAAAGTTTGCAGCAGGCCCATTCTTAATTCGCTAAATTACTTTATTTTCTTAATTTATGAGGAATCGTGGCCATAACGGCATCAGAAGAGGAAGAGGTGTGTGGTAGCCACACACCCCTACATGGCGCAGTGTGAGAAGGAGACTGACTGCCACTGAGCAACTTGAGAGGCGAATTTTGCGCCACGGAAAGGAGGGGAATTTTGGGCTTACAAATGAATGGGTCCAGAAGTTGATTGGGTATCTTACATTAGATTTTACAAATTATTGAGACTACCCCACACAGGCCATTTTCAAATAGAACATTTCTTCAAATGAATTAAAAAAATCCAATAAGACGTTAAGTCGACTTTTTACAGATGCAGGATGGCGATGTCCAGCATGTCAAAACGTAACAGCAAAGATACCACAAGATTACATGTGTTTCTGTGGCAAGGCAAAACTATCCAGTGGATGGAATCGTGTTGATAATGCACATAGCTGTGGAGAGATCTGTGGACGTACACAAAAAGTGGAGCCCTTCTACAAACCATGCATTCACAGTTGTACCCTCCTTTGCCATGCTGGACCTTGTCCAGCATGTATTGTCATGGTATCCAGGTAAAATAAGCTAATTTTATCAAACCTTCCTATCTTTTAATCAAGTCCGTGCATGCATCCGTTTGCGGGGGACCGCGGATGGAAATCGCGGATTTTCCCAGAGGGCCTTTCGGGGTAGAAAGAGAAGCGCAGCTGTGTGCATATAGTTCTGATCTAGACGCACAGTGGTTCCTTCTAACAGGGAGAACAGAAAAAACCTCACAGCTACCAGTCAAATCGACAAGCAAGAGTAATAATCGTTAAGTATGTGTTTTAGATCATAACTGTTACGTCTATAACTCAAAAATTGAAATGTAGGTTAGGGGGGGGGGGCAACCTGCATGACAAGTTACATACAGGGTGATCTTAAAGTCCCTTCCACCCCCTCTAACTTTTTACCTAATTGAGATAAAGATTTGAAACTCGAAGGATATTCCTAGGTCAAAGGGAGCTACTTTTTGGCCCCCCTAAAATTTTCAGGGGGCCCCTATTGGGGGGCAACGGCCCTTAACTTTTAATTTTCAAATGGGAAGACCCCCTTTGTGATAGCTCGTTCGAAAGAGCATAAAAAAAGAAAACTTTTCGCGCAAACCCGAAGTCAATATCTCAAACCGTTTCAAAATGGCGGCCGGTTAAAGTTCAAAATGACCGAAAATTCACACCGGTTATTTGTCGATGGATTTGCGTGGAAATCGGTATGTGGGGGTATTCTGACACGAGAAAAACGAATTTGACGTTAGATTTTCAAAAAAACCGAAATTTCCAAAATGGCCGCCGGTTAAAGTTCAAAATCACGAAAACTTGATTTTTTCTATAAATCTAAGTTCAAATTTGTCTATCTTATGCCAAAATACTCTCAAATTCCAAGTTTTAGGCAAATCCATCAAGAAAAAACCGAGGTGAAAATTTACGACCATTTAAAACTTTAACCGGTGGCCATTTTGGAAATTTTGGTTTTTTTGTAAATCTAATGTCAAATTCGTTTTTCTCGTGTCCAAATACCCCTACTCACCGATTTCCGCGCAAATCCATCGACAAATAACCGGTGTGAATTGTCGGCCATTTTGAACTTTAACCGGCCGCCATTTTGAAACGGTTTGAGATGTTGACTTTGGGTTTGCGCGAAAAGTTTTCTTTTTTTATGCTCTTTCGAACGAGCTATCACAAAGGGGGCCTTCCCATTTGAAAATTAAAAGTTGGGGGCCGTTGCCTCCCCCCCCCAAGGGGGGCCCCCCTGAAAATTTTAGGGGGGCCAAAAAGTAGCTCCCTTTGACCTAGGAATATCCTTCAAGTTTCAAATCTTTATCTCAATTAGGTAAAAAGTTAGAGGGGGTAGAAGGGACTTTTGGATCACCCTGTATACATTTATTATGGAATGGGGGGCTTAGAAATGAATGGTCCGGAATTGTGTTGTTTTGCAGCCTAACTATCTCATATTTTTTATTTTTTTGTTTTGCTAAATATCATAAGGGCAGATTTTATTTAACGGGAGAATTCGTGTAACCTTGTGGTCCTTTCGTCAGTTTTTGTTTTTCAACAATCTTCTCCAAGATTCTTCTTTCTATGTGACAGAAGGAAACGAGGAAAAACTCTTCAGACTCTTAACTGGTCTCAGGCTAATTTTTTTTCAAGGGAGAAGTTAGAAATATAATCCCTGGGGACGTGTAACCGGGGTAGGGTGTACCTTATTTTTGAGTTTTGTGAAAATCAAGTTGGTCAACCCCTAAAAAGTTTCTATGTAGTCTCTAAATGAACCCCCTAAAAGGAAAAAATTTTAACCCGTGCCTCAAAGGGCCTAAAGGGCCTAAATCCAAAATTAAAAAATTTTGGCAAGCGAGATATCAATTCTGAAGCAAAATTGAGGGTTACGGCCCTTTGGGCGGAAGTTTCGTCCGTTTTGGCGTATCTTGAAGCGTAATGTCACAAACGGCCCAATGACGACGTGAGGCTATGGGCCGGCCGCTGAGCGCGCGCGCAGGGCAGGGTTGTGCATCGCCGCATTAAACCGGCGTAGAGGAACGAACGGTGGGGTGGGAGGGGGATATTCGGTGGAAAAGCATCCACATTTTCTATCCATAATGAAAATGCATTATAATTTTTCAATATAGATGAGGAAATATGAGCCGTACAAGGAAGTGATGAAAAGAGTGACAAAAACATATAACATTTATAGTTTGTATGATAAGGAGCGTAAGTGAGGGTAAAATTTGCCGTAACTACAGAACAGCCCTGACAATCTCCGGGAAATAAAAGTTGCTATTGTTGACATACCTGTTGATCATCAAAACAGAAAATCCTCACCCACTGGAGGTACCAGAAACCACTGGTATTTGACTAGTTAAAAAGATAAGTGCGATGTTGTGGAATAGTAAGCCCTTTACGCGATCAAATGCGATTAGTGTAAATTTAATTGGAAAAGTCGAAGAAAAATTTGATGGAAGAAAATTTCCCTAAATTCGGGAAGTGCTCCAAGTGTTTTTCTATCATGTGAAGTGTTTGCACACGAATGTCAATGGCAGTGCGTGGACCTCTGATCTGGTAATTCCAATATGGAATGAAAAATGTAGAATCCCTGTGATACGTAGTGTCCATGTTTTCAAAAATGTTTACATTTTTATGAAGAGTGGAGGCGCGAATCAGAAAGTGCTAGCCGTCGATTGCTGGTTCAAGAGAATTCGGAGACTAATTTTACGGCAAAAATCAACGTGTCATTCGACATTGCTTTATGCAATGCTCCAGATACCATGGAAAATGAAGAGGATAAAGCATTTTTAATTCATCAGCGAAAACCTGAACGAGAATGCATAATATCCACAGTGAAGGATACTATATTCTTGCAGCAGAGGAGAGGAGAGCAGACGAGAAGAAGGTTCGCGCCCAGGAGAGAGTTTCCAGACAGGAAAAATTCAAGCTCGCTTATGAGTCCCGCCAAACGGAAGAAAGAAAGTTTTTTCATTTCATATGAAATCATTGAAGGTATGATGTATCTCCACCCCACCGTTCGTTCCTCTACGCCGGTGTAATGCGGCGATGCACAACCCTGCCCTGCGCGCGCGCTCAGCGGCCGGCCCATAGCCTCACGTCGTCATTGGGCCGTTTGTGACCTTACGCTTCAAGATACGCCAAAACGGACGAAACTTCCGCCCAAAGGGCCGTAACCCGCAATTTTGCTTCAGAATTGATATCTCGCTTGCCAAAATTTTTTAATTTTGGATGTAGGCCCTTTAGGCCCTTTGAGGCACGGGTTAAAATTTTTTTAAAATTTTTTTCTTTTAGGTTCTTTAGGTTCATTTAGAGACTACATAGAAACTTTTTAGGGGTTGACCAACTTGATTTTCGCAAAACTCAAAAATAAAGGACACCCTAAACCTTTTCTAACTTTCCAAGCGAATAAAATGCATTCACCATCACATAAGACTTATTGGAGACAATATTTTAACTCATTTATATCCTCAACTTTGATAAAATGACAATCTTAAGTGTGCCTCTTTAAGTGGATTCACGGTAGATGAGCTGGAAGACGTGTAACCTTGTTTGACGGAATTCTGGTGATGTTCCGCCTTTCGCCTCTGCTGTGTCCAGCAGGTATCACTTATGCGTTTTTTTTGTGTGTTTACGCCTGTAGAGTGACTTTTAACGAACAAAGTGTAGCTCAGTTTATCAGATTCATGTTTTATTACTTGCTAAAAATAAGTTTGTCGGCTGAAAAATCGAGTGTCACACTTATTCAGTGGAATTCTGGTGGCGTTTCTCAAACTGCATAATCAGAATACACAGTACAACAAATTTCGGGTTTTGGTTTGTCCTTCGAACCAAACCAAGTTTTTTCGATTCCTAGGTGCTAAAGAAGCCCGAAAATGGCCATATTAACTTCAGGAAAATTGGCTGGTCCTCAGGGCGCTGCCATTTTGAATTTTTCAAAATTAAAAAGCCCAAGATTAGATTTTTGCAAACATCTCCTCAACAGTTCATCTCACGAAAAAAGCAAAAATGCAGCGGAAAGAGCATACAATTTTCTACGGAAATCACCCTCCTTTGTTTTTTCTAGCTTAATTCTTTGGTCGTGAAATTAACGTTTTCTTCAAAAATTAGCTTAAAAAAGGCGCAATTTTTGCTGATTTTAGGAGAAACTTTGCTTCATACCTCCAGCCACGATTATCTGAGAAAAAAACTGTTATGCTCATTGAAAAGAGCGTAAAAACACGTAGAAAACATATGTAAATAGTTTGTAAACTTGATTTACTCCTGTGAAACAGCAGTTTATTAGCTCCGCCCTTAAAATGTGATTTTTTCGACCATTTTCCTTAGAATCACGAAAAAAAGAGATAAATCCCCTAAAAACGTGACCCGAACTGTGTAAAAAGGTGGCAAAATAGTGCTGGGTCCACACTTTTTTGAAAACAAAACCAAAAAGTTCAAACATTTTCAATCAGAGTCAAAAATTGTGAGCTCCAATGAGTATCAGTACAAAACTGAAGGGGGAGAGTGTTCAGCTCAGGCAGTTTGCATTGGAATATTAAGGTGAGGTCACGTCGAAAGATCTATAATTTTGGGTCTTTTTATACCTCATCAGTAGAACAAACTCGTCATGTGAACTCAACTGAAAATCTCGCAAAATCCAAGACGGCATTAAAGCTTAAGTTCGAAGTACACGTTTTGTATTGGAAGACAGCAAGTTTCGTACTGGTACTCATTGGACCTCAAAATTTTCGACTCTGATTGAAAATTTTTGAACTTTTTCGCTTTTGATCTCACTGACGAGTGTGATCTACTGACGAGGTCTATAACGAGACCCAAAATCGTAGATCTCTCGAATTAGTTCAGCATTACGTTCTCAAGGCCCCAAATATCGGGCAAAGTTCAAAAAGAAGTTAAGAAAGTAGTGTGTAAAATGATCGTTTAAATTTCTTTCTTTTTTTTAACTTTGCCCGATAGAATGTAACGTAGAACTAATTTTCAACTTGCCGAGAGAATGTTGGGGCAAAGTCAGTAAGAATCGGCTCATTTTATGGGATCATCAT